ACTTACGGTATGCGTTGTCCTCGAGCTTCAGCAAAATCAAGTCTCTCTTCGTATCTTCTGGAATACTCGATACTTCAATAATATGTTAATAAGTTTTGTACCTCTAGTCGAATGAATTATTATATATCCAGATTCTCATCCAATACTATTTTTTCGTCCTTGTTCAATTGGTCATATAGCAGCTTCTGGTTATCCACCATGCCATCCTTGGTAGGCGCTAACGAGGCGAACAGCATTTTCATTTCTTCATGCTGAAATTGCAACTGTTGAAGCATAGTTTGAAGTACTACCTCGAGCTGTGCAGGATGAGCAGAAGCTGTTCCATCTCCAGATGACTTCGGCATATCGTATTCGGATTTCTTTGAAGCCCTGGTTAGCCAGTATCTTAAGTCCTGTAAACCCTTTGATGCTGGTCCTCATCGCCGCTTGTTGTCTCCTTACAAGCAGCCTATCCAGTCATTTATTGAGCCGCAGACGAATAATCAACCATACCCAGAGAATGACCCTTTTATACACCCTGATAAACATATCGTGTATAGAGTACTATCATTCCCCAACGAGATGAGAGAAACTTGAAAGAGACTTCTCCCAGCCCACCCCCCTCTCAGTGGGAAGAATAGGATCGGTGCTCCTTCATAAGTTTTGCCGACACTGATCGCTCTGTTCCCATCGCATCACATCGACCATCACAAGTAGCCCTTCAATTTTAGAGTTTTCAATGGATTCTCTTGATAGCTTAGCATCATGGCTGTTTGATTTGTTGATAGTTAATTTCAAAGGTTATGATGTGGTTAGAGAGCTCGTACTCTCATGTAGATTTTGGTGTGCAACACTTGTGTATTTGCTTCACTGTGGAGCTTACAAGCGAGCAAAAAATGTTGCTTTTGCTACATGAGTGCAAGTTGAGCTCGAAACCGAATGCTTCTGCATCTGCTCGTAGAATTAAGCGAAGCTTGGGTGGAAGCAGGGTTGCGGAAAGGCCTGTTCATGTACGTTTCCAATTAATCATGTGTTGTTTTTTCTGCTCGGTTTCGTTGGTAGACTTATGTATGCGTGGAAACGACGGTAATTTTCGCTCAACCCAGTAATTGCGGAAATCATCGCTTAGGATAAATTGAGTCAAAGTTCGAGTTTTTCAAATTTTTGGTCGGAAATCTGCAAACGCTTATGAAGTGATTCCTACTGTATGCATATGAAATGCAAAAAGTTTCTGTAAGAGCTCGAGGTGCGCCGCGTCTCTCTTACGGATTGGGTTAATGAGAAAATTTTCGAACAAACTTCTTTGCGACCACCAAAGTCAGAGGCAGTTGTTGCCAAAAAGTGAGAGCAAGTCTCCGAGATAACGTCTAGTTTACAACAGACTTTCTCCCGAAGGTGTGGTAGTTTGTGACGGGGTAACATCCAAAAGTGCAGCTCCATTGGAGTTCATCTTCCACAAATGTTAAAATTAACTCGAAGGTCTTGCAAAAGACTTTAATGAGGTACGGTATGTTGTTCTGGATTTACGAGCATTTTGCTCAATGATCGTTTGCTCTTCAATGAAGCTGGGCTCCCTAATACGCGTTCAAATCGACCAAAGCCATCCTGGGCGCTCACTTCCCGGGCCACTGGAGCAAGGAATTGTGACCTTCTTCCTCTCAGGCCCTTAACCCGATGGACTCCTCTATGTGAGGATGTTGTAGAGCAAGACCTCATAAGACTTCTCCAGCTCGGTGGGTGCTCTGAAGTTAGCGCTTCAGAAGAGGTGGGACGACATCGCCGTTGGCTACCTGCGGCGCACTGCTGATTTTGTCGTTGGACGTCAGAAGGCCTCTCTCAAAGCAGAGTCGTCAAATTCAAGCGCCTTCTGCATGAGTGATCAAATAGCTTTAACCCTTTGACGACCGCCGTTATGAATGCGTCACTTCACTTCTTTCTAAATTTTTTCATCAATAATCATTAACTCTCCAACAATTTCACTATTAGTAATTAGCGCATTATTCCGCGAATTCGATAATGTATTTGTGTAGTTTTGAAACATAAAAAATGCCAAAATAAACCCCTAAAAACGTGTCGCCACCGAGCGAAAGTGTGGCCCACCGGCGGGCCACACGGTCGTCAAAGGGTTAAAGGACGAATTCACGCTGAAAAAGCAACCCATTTCAAATTAACCTAGGGATGGTGAGTGGTACACGAAAGAAGGAAGAACCATGAGAAACGGCCCAGAACCCGAGAAATGGGACCCCTTCCTTGCCCGTTGATTTGAGCATTGATGCGACTCTCATCGCTGTGCCCTCTTCAACACTACGCTCTCTCTGCTATCTAATCACTCGCCACGTATAGACTGCGGCGAGTGATCAGCGGAGATCGCCGGACCCGCCAACTTTGAGGCATGATAGGTCGCCGAGGTCAAATTTTTCGATGCGAATTGCGCGTCAGTTCGCACCCTCAGGAGGTCCGTGGGTCCCTCAACTAGGTCAATTACTTCTTCTTCGACCTTCCATTCTAATCGTGAATTCCTCCTTTAACTCTATATTTATGTGAAGTCGGTTTCCTGACCGAATCTCTTCCTTGGCTTTCACACACGAAACACGGCGTCCCATACTTTTTAGTAACCCTGTATATGGTTTAGGAGATGTAAGGGGACGTATTTGGTGAGTGACGGAAACTGATAATGCTGGTAAGGGCTGATGAAGAACATCAAAGGGAAGGCTAACGGAATTCATAGCGCACGCCTAAGCAGTGGAGAGTTGCTGTCTTTTGAAGATGACAAAAAGTGACAACAGCTGACAAGGTCTGATAAGAGCGATTAGCTTGAGAGCGGAGGAGTCACCGAGGTTATCAGTGAATGCGCGCTAAGAAATGCGTTCCACTTCTTCTGCGATTTCGTCGTCACCATCGAAATTCATTAGACCACTAATAATAAGTGTTGGTGTTTCTATTTGGTTGGTCCAACCACCATAAATATCTAAAACCTATTGCCAAGTGAAGTAGAAGCTGTTCGATGCCTCCCTTGTAGGACTCTACTGAATTCTGATCGAAGAAAGATCAGATGTCGATTTTGACATCATCATGGTTAGGATGAGATTTGTATTCTAGTAGGTAGTTTGGAGAGGGAAGCAGGTATCTACCTGACTCCATTACCCATTCCAGCTCACCTCGAATGCTATTACTACGCTTGGCAGCTGCCGTATGGCACACCTTCACAGACACCCCAAGAAACCACTGGAATTCACTGGATCCGAAGGAACGTATGACTTCCACCGTCGCCACCCGATGTCAAGTTTTTTTTTGACGTAAAGACGCAGTTTACGATATTAGAAGGGGGCAGCTGGTTAGAAAGTGGATACAGTTCGTTAGTTTCAAATAAGATGTGGTCCTTCTCAAGAGTTGCCTCTGAGCATCGTTACAATTAAAAAAAAAACAGGACCTTAAACGTGAAACTAGTTGAGGAAGAATCGAGATAGCGCAGAAACCAGCAAGACGAAACACAAGTGTGCAATGCAGCAAGAGGAAATCCGAAGGAGATTCAGGTCCACCGCCCCAGCCCCTCACCACAACTCCAACATAAGTCCCGGTCGTAACACCCTTGTTCCTCATTTCGAATCATAAAGCTGAGGTTGTCTCTACTGTTTGGTTGTCGACCAGCACACAAGGAGCTGAGGGGGGGGGGGTTGCTCCACACAGGAGAAGAAATAACCACTCCCGCCACTCTACTCACAGCAAATCGAAGAGGTAGAAACTCATAAAAGCCCTGTTATTCAACTCGCAACACCAGGAGACAAAAGGTGAGCTCCATTGGTATAAATGTATGTTTTTCCTCGAGTATCCCTTGGATCCTGATAGTGACATAGGCTGAGACCAGTGTGACAATGTATGAAGTGGAGTTTAAAAGCATCATTCATACTCACTCTTTCGCCGATTTAGCTTGCTCCATGGGCGTCGGACTCCAATATGTGATACTGTAGATTCAAAACGACGGAAAAATGAGTTACCTGCATAGGAGAAAAATTCAGTATTCGTCGGGTCAAACACGTATCAGATTGCAGTTCAAGTCGTTGAGAATGTGAAATTTTGTATTTGTAGCGACTGAAAAACGTGCCACAATAATTCTCGCCACCCTCACGGATCCTCGGACTCCTAAGAACTGTCGAAGTATCCATTTGGGGGTGCTAACTTAGTTGGGGGGGGCCACGCGGCGGCGCGGCAGTCTGCTCGCCTGGCATGTTCGGAAATCCGTGGGCCAGGGGGAGTGTAGGCAGTCTAGGGGGGTGGGGGGGGGCAGTCACTTGACATGCGTGAAAAGCTGGAATGTTCGAGTTTACACTGTCTCGCTCGAGAGAGCCCAGGTGAGCAGACTGCCGCGCCGCCGCGTGCCCCCCAACTAAGTTAGCACCCATTTGGGATTGTCATTAGATGGCTGTAAGCTGTGTACAGGGTGGTCCAAAATTATGAGGACCGCGTGCGCGCGCAGTCATATCCACTTTTTTCCGTATCGCTCCATTTTCATCTCGTTTTCTGTGCACTATGTGAAGGGTACAATGTCTTCTTCCTAATGAAACCAAATTTCATGCAGTTCTCAAAACTAGTGAAATAACTACTTCACTTTGTCAGTCCTCAAATTGAACTCACTAGGGGCTCTGGCACGTTACATCTAGCAGCAGTCTAACCTATCAGGGAAGCTCTTATGAGCAACAGTTCAACTCTTCAATAAGTTTGGAACCACCACAGATGGAAAATTCGGGGACTCGAAAGTTACAGTTACCACCAGGATAATTATCAGATGCAGAAACTAGGTCTCCCCTTGTCGACTTTCGTACACCCAAAATGAAAAAATTGATGTGAAAACCCAGCCAGACACTCTAAAGACTCCACATAGAAAGCCACACGAGTAGTCTACTTGGGACTTCTTACAGGACCGAGCACCCAAGAATAAAGCAAAAATTCTCTAAAAAGCGATTTTTCGAGTTCGTTGCTTTCGAAGAATTGTTACAATGGAACCTTCCACCTAATAGCTCTAG